GCTGTCATACGTACTTTAGGGAAAAATCAGGAAAGACGTAATTTATTAATATAGCCAAGATGAAGGTGCTGACAGAAAGGTAGAGTCTTTCAGGTATGCATAAAGAAGCACAAAAAAAAATGGGAAATGACAGTTACTTAAAAGAAGAGAAATAATAGCAATCATCTCTCCTTTTCTTTCCTGCTCCCTCCCTCCTCTTCTACCCTTTCTCTATAGATAGATAGATAGATAGATAGATAGATATAGATATGGCACTAAACTGGATTAGATATTTTGTAGAACTCAGTCATTTTTTGTTAATAGGTATTTCAATATAATTTGTAGCATTTATGTAGCACGTTGCCATTAGTTGAACACTTTTTCACATAATATGTCAGTAACTACTCATAGCAACTCTTTGAATCATACATAGTAGTATCATTAATTAAAAGATGCACAAATAAACTTGGAACTGTCAATCTAATGATGCAGTGACATTTCACATAGTTATTAGAAGAGAAACTCAAATCAAAATCCCTTAATCAGCTCTTAGAGGCTTCTTCCAAAGCATTTTAACAACCTATTGAGAATCACCTTATTTTGTAGACCTGTGATTTTATTTAGAAATAAAACAATCAGAGCAGCATATGTTAATAGAAGAATGAACTAGAAAAAAGAGGAAAAGGAAAGAAGTAAAGTTTGTAAAGTTTAATTTAAGGAAAGCAATATTGCATTTGCTTAAATCTTGGAAATAAAAAAAAACACAAATATTTGAAGACAAGTGTCTTCTAGGAGTAGCTTGATGTGTTTTGCTCATAGCCTCTTTGCATTGAATTTAGACAAGTGGGTGGAGAATGCCATAGTACAGATATCCCATGTTTCTCAACATGAGGAATGACTTGCTTCATCATATGTAATTGGGTGGGTGGCTCAAGAACAGAGTGGATTTGTAGTCACAGTCTCCTTGTATGAAACTTAGCAATTTTTAGCAGGGATAATCTTAGAGTTATTATCTATTGTATGAGTTGAGGGTTCTTTCCAGACTTGAGGTTGCATATTTTTAATGGAATGCCAGACATATAACTGCAATATTTATCTTGAAGACTTAGTTTTATAATAGTCTCAGGAAGAAAAATTAGATTTATATTTATAACTCAAATATTTCCCCAGAATATATATATAATACCTTAAGGATAATATATACACTATTTTTAGAAACAAAACTAAAAAAATGAAAAAAAATTTAAAAAATTAAGATTTTACCTCTGTTCTAAGAAAATTAGAGATACCAAGGGAGAATTTCATGCAAAGATGGGCTCACTAAAGGACAGAAATGGTACAGACTTAACAAAAGCAGAAGACATTAAGAAGAGGTGGCAAGAATACACAGAAGAACTATACAAAAAAGGTCATCATGACCCAGATAATCACGATGGTGTGATCACTCACCTAGAGCCAGACATCCTGGAATGTGAAGTTCAGTGGGCCTTAGGAAGCATCACTATGAACATAGCTAGTGGAGGTGATGGAATTCCAGTTGAGCTATTTCAATTCCGAAAAGATGATGCTGTGAAAGTGCTGCACTCAGTATGCCAGCAAATTTGGAAGACTCAGCAGTAGCCACAGGACTGGAGGTCAGTTTTCATTCCAATCCCAAAGAAAGGTAATGCCAAAGAATGCTCAAAATACCTCTCAGTTGCACTCATCTCACATGCTAGTAAATAATGCTCAAAATTCTCTAAGCCCGGCTTCAACAATATGTGAACTGTGAACTTCCAGATGTTAAAACTGGTTTTAGAAAAGGCAGAGGAAATAAGACCAAATTGCCAACATCCACTGGATCATTGAAAAACCAAGAGAGTTCCCCCCAAAACATCTATAGCTTTATTGACTATACCAAAGCCTTTGACTGTGTGGATCACAATAAACTGTGGAAAATTCTGAAAGAGATGGGAATACCAGACCACCTGACCTGCCTCTTGAGAAATCTATATGCAGGTCAAGAAGCAACAGTTAGAACTGGACATGGAACAATAGACTGGTTCCAAACAGGAAAAGGAGTACATCAAAGCTGTATGTTGTCACCCTTCTTATTTAAATTTTATGCAGAGTACATCATGAGCAAAGCTGGACTGGAAGAAGCAAAAGCTGAAATCAAGATTACCGGGGGAAATATCAGTCACCTCAGATATGCAGATGACACCAACCTTATGGAAGAAAGTAAAGAATAACTAAAGAGCCTCTTGATGAAAGTGAAAGAGGAGAGTGAAAAAGTTGGCTTAAAGCTCAACATTCAGAAAACTAGGATCATGGCATCCGGTCCCATCACTTCATGGCAAATAGATGGAGAAACAGCAGAAACCGTGGCTGACTTTATTTTTCTGGGCTCCAAAATCACTGCAGATGGTGATTGCAGCCATGAAGTTAAAAGACACTTACTCCTTGGAAGGAACTTTATGACCAACCTAGACAGCATGTTAAAAAGCAGAGGCATTACTTTGCCAACAAAGGTCCGTCTGGTCAAGAAATCAAAAAAGAAATCAAAATATGCATAGAAACAAATGAAAATGAAAACACAGAAACCCAAAACCTATGAGACACTGTAAAAGCAGTGCTAAGGGGAAGGTTAATAGCATTACAGGCTTACCTCAAGAAAAGAAAAAAGTTAAATAAATAACCTAGCTCTACACCTAAAGCAACTAGAGAAGGAAGAAATGAAGAACCCCAGGGTTAGTAGAAGGAAAGAAATCTTAAAAGAAGGGCAGAAATAAATGCAAAAGCAACAAGAGACCATAGCAAAAAGCAACAAAGCTAAAAGCTGGTTTTTTGAATAGATAAACAAAATTGACCAACCATTAGCCAGACTCATCAAGAAACAAAGGGGGAAGAACCAAATTAACAAAATTTGAAATGAAAATGGAGAGATCACAACAGACAACACTGAAATACAAAGGATCATAAGAGATTACTACCAGCAGCTATATGCCAATAAAATGGACAACTTGGAAGAAATGGACAAATTCCTAGAAAAGTTAACTTTCCAAAACTGAACCAGGAAGAAATAGAAGATCTTAACGGACCCATCACAAGCAAGGAAATCGAAACTATAATCAGAAATCTTCTAGCAAATAAAAGCCCAGGACCAGATGGCTTCACAGCTGAATTCTACCAAAAATTTTGAGAAAAGCTAACACCTATCTTACTCAAATATAAAGGTTTTAGGGAAAATATACCTGTATATGTTAATGTGGCCCTGCCCTGGTGGCTCAGCAGTAAAGAATTTGTCGCCCCCCCCCCCCCGAAAAAAAAAGAATTTGCCCCCAGTGTAGGAGACACAGGTCGAGACATGGGTTTCATCCCTGGGCCAGAAAGATCCCCTAGAGAAGGAAATGGCAACCCATTCCAGTAATCTTGCCTGGGAAATCCCATGGACAGAGGAGCCTGATGGGTTACAGTCCACAGGGTCACAAAGAATCAGACATGACTGAGCAACTGAGCATGCACATATTCATGTAAGAATAATAGAAAAATAGTCACATTGTCAACTTGGGTACAAGGAGAATGATATTTTGCAAGTTGAAAGATTGGAAAAGATGACATTGGAGGTGGCTTATTAGATATATTAATTTTTGGCACAGCTGTATTTGGCCTTAAAACTTGTTACTTCTTTTGATACATTTTCATTCATACAAACTGTGAAAATAGCATTCAGATTACCTTTTGGCTAGATATTTTATTGTACATACATTATAATGAGTTTAAATAAAAATTTGTTTTAGGGTGGTGCCTTGAAGATATATTTTAAACTTTTTCATTGTAGATGGATTGTTTGACAAATTTCTTAATATCATTTTTGCTTTTTATAAGGGCTGTGTCATTTGTCATGATTTGGAGGAGAATGTGTTTTTCACTCTTAATTTTGAAATACTTTAGACACCAAATAACTTTAGCACGTCTGTATAAGCTTCTAGTGTTAGAAAGATGATTATAAAATTCTCTTACTTTATCAGACTTCTTAGTTTCTCTCCTGATTGTTGAATGGTAGCCATATAGCATCATTATCATGGTTTTAATATGCATGTTATAATATGTTATAATAATTGTGTAATGCAAACTTGTTTTCCTTGTAAAGTTTTTTTCTTTCTTTTAGCAGGAACATTATCAGTATCACTCCTATTTATTACACTAGTTGCAATTAGTATAGAAAAGTGTATCTGTACCAAGTCACACACACAAAAAAGAACTCCTGTACTTAAATTGCTCTGTTTTTATAGCATAAAATGTATGACTGTTCTGTGAATATTAAAAAGTAGTCATGTGTGTGTAATTTTATTTTTTCATTATTGTCTTGGTCTTCCATATTTATCCATTTATGTAATATGTACCATTTGTCAGTAAAATCACTGTGTATATATATGGCAAAAATGTATGTATATCTTTTTCATCCTAATGGCCACCACAAACCGTAATACAGCATCTTTCCAAAAACGTTAAATAACCTGAAACATATAAATAAATATAAAATAATCCATGTAACATCTCAACAAACAAAACTAATAAAAAAACTTTCTGATAGTTTCTTCACCCACTATACTATATCAAACTTTTTGTGTGTAAATATTTAATTCAATAACCAATATTTCCATTGACACAGACATGAGTGCCCATCAATTATAACAGAATGTTGTGAATCTATAACATATAATCATTATGTTTTTCAGGCAGCTTTCTCTGCTTTCGATCATTACAGTTAATTTTCTAATCGTTGTTAGGAGTTAGGATGAGGTTTTTGGCTTACTTAAGATCGTGATTAACTAGGACAGAGTTACACAGTCCATATCGCACTAGCAGCCAGGAGATGTGAGCTCCCGAGGTCCCGGGTTGTCTGTGGGCCTGGGGTGGTGGCGTCCAGGGCCTTGGGCCCGCAGCAGAGAGCAGCCTTGGGAATAGCCCCAGCAGGGCTCCTCTGAGGCCGGCCTGAGCTGAGCGGAGTCTGATGGTGCGCCCTGCGGTCCCCGCAGGTGGCAAGCACAGTGAACGACATCCAGCCCTCGCGTCTCCACTGCGACATGCTGAGCGCGGCCCAGGAGGCGCTCTACCTCCAAGACACCTCCTTCAGCAGCCAGCTGCGGAGCGCGCCACTGCCCATCGCGGACCAGGGCCCCGTGGAGCTTCCAGAGGAGTTCGTGGTCCAGGTGCCCATGGAGCTCAGATCTCAGCCCAAGGTGCGGCCAGCGGTGGGGAGAGAGGGCTGGGGGTGGCTGGGTAGGGGCCCCGGGGAGGCTCGGCCCCAGGCTGTGCCCCAAGCGTGTCTTCTCATAGACCTCTGCATTCGCTCATTGTGGCCGATGTTTGCAGCCAGTGAGATACTGACCTGTTGTTGAACAGTGCATGCTTGTTCTACATTAGAACTTCATCGCTATTTCAAAATGTTTGACTTTAAATTTCCAATGTGCTTTGAAATATTTTCACAGGAAGTTTAAAATTACTCTTAGCGACCATGTCAACGGTTGTAAATTTGAATGGTTTGATGTAAAAGACACATTTTAACATTTCTGATCCTCTGTTTGAAAAACTATTTCCATCAGTAGAAAGTGGAAAGATTTTTGAGGAGATTGTGGTGAAAACATCTTGGTTAGGAATTGTGTATAGTCATTTAACGAGTCCATCCTGATAGGAAAGTGATGGTTGCAGAAGCAACCAAATTTTTTAATGGAAATGTTGGAAAGTGCTTTATTTTTATTATTGTCTCTTCAACTGGCAAGTACAGTGTGAGACACCCAGCCTTTGAAGTTCCAATGAGGAAAATTATATAATATTTTTAGAAAATCCAGTTTTAGTCTTTTTCTCAGTACTTCATATATATATTTTTTATCTTTACATAATATTTAGTCAATAGAGTTTTTTCTTTTCACTCATCAAACTTTATGAAGACACTCTTATCCCTCTAATTTCTCTCAGGGAACATAATATGTATAATGTATTATAAAATAACATATACAAATATTATTTAATACTTATGTGCTTATTATGTATACACACTATTTATATAAATACTTTATTTATAATTTTCTTTGTGTCTGCAACATGAAAGAGGTTGAGAAACATCTGGCAGGTGGAACCATGAGTATCAAGCTTTATCCCAAAAGACACTCACATCTCCTACACCGTAATTTAATAATACAGGAAATACTGTCTAAGAAACCTGAAATGCCACTATATTAGCTGGGCTTATCTTCTGAGCACCATGAAAGAACTCTCTGATAAAATATGTTGGAATACTGTATTTTAGTTCAGGGACTAAGGGTTATTCATCACCTTTTTATCAATTTGAGATTTAAGTTCAGTTCAGTTGCTCAGTCACGTCCAAATCTTCAACCCCATGAACCGCAGCACCCAGGCCTCCCTGTCCATCACCAATTCCCGGAGTCCACCCAAACCCATGTCTATTGAGTCAGTGATGTGATCCAAACATCTCATCCTCTGTCATCCCCCTCTCCTCCTGCCCTCAATCTTTCCCAGCATCAGGGTCTTTTCAAATGAGTCAGCTCTTCGCATGAGGTGGCCAAAGTATTGGAGTTTCAGCTTCAACATCAGTCCTTCCTGTGAACACCCAGGACTGATTTCCTTTAGGAAGGACTGGTTGGATCTCTTTGCAGTCCAAGGGACTCTCAAGAGTCTTCTCCAACACCACAGTTCAAAAGCATCAATTCCTCTGCACTCAGCTTTCTTTATAGTCCAACTCTCACATCCATACATGACTACTGGAAAAACCATAGCCTTGAGATTTAAGAGACCTATGATATTTAAACCTAATTACTTCAGCCACATAGAGTAAGTTTGTGGTGATGTTGGCACTCACAGTGGCTCTTTCCACTCAATCACATATTTTAATTAGTGGCCTAGAGTCTTTCAATTCAGATTAGCATTACTTCCCTGACAGTGATGATTGGGGGTCAGTGGTAGGTAGTAAGTGCATATATTTCTACAGAAGCACATAGAATTGACTCCAGTGTGTTTGGACAAATCAGGGAAAAGGTATAACATATATTCTTTAAGAATTCTTTTTCTTTTTTTCTGTTTTGTATTATCATTTTAAATCTGAAATTCTCTAAATTGGGTACAGTTATATTTTTCACAAAATGTGCTTTAGCAATCAGAAAGTTTTCCCCATGATATTGGCTTTTGATTGATATTATGAAACAGTAACACAAAATTAATTTTTTTTTAATTTGCTCAAATACATATGTGTTCATCACAATTTCTAGTACTAGTGAAGAAGAAATCTAGAAATTAATTTTACTTTTTGAGTAGATGTTATAAATGTTTAAATCAGCAATGGTAACATAAACACAGAAACATACACACAACCCTGTTGGCAATTCAAACCAGCAGTCAATTAGCATAAGTTCTTTCCTATAGTGCTTTTACTAATATGTTGGCTGAATTTATACGTTCCACAGCTTTTATAGCTTAATAAGATTTTTCTGTATTACTAGCTTTTACTTTTTTGCCATTTGTGTGTCAGGTTACATTGTAGTAAGGGGATTAAGTCACATTTTTCTATCTATTTACAAATAGGAAAATTGAATTATATTCTATTTTGGACAGAGACAAAAATGAGAGTAGCAGGAAACCTTTACTTGATCTTGTAAATGAACACTTAGGTAAATATCATGTGATTTAAAAGGAGCCTAGGTTATTATGTTAATCTGCTATGATGAGGTAATACTTTCTGAAAGTCACTTTTGTGCAAAAGTAATTTTATCAGTCAGAGAGCAACTAAAGGTCATCTTTGAATGCTCCCTATAGAAAGAATAAAGAAGATGAAGTAAATATTACTGGGGCATAATCTTTCTTGATATGGAAAATAGTATATACAGCTAGAACACATGAACTGGTATTAAATATGAAATTAAAATAAGAGATATCACATTACTTTGAGCTCTTCAAACTGAAACGACATGAAAGAATTCAAACTGGAAAATGTCAGTGAAGCTTCCTCCCTTCTTCTACCTGCTTTTCTAAAAGAAAAACAACAGTCTGTTATAGAAACAAGATATTTTAAGATACAGAAAACTCAGAGAAATATAAATAGTAGAGCTTGATATTAATGCAGTCTTTGATTGGAATACAAAACTGATATTACATTCAAAAAAGTTAACCTCTGTTTGTTCTATAGATAGCCAAAGGAACAAATAGAAACCCAACAAACACAGCCTTCACAACATAACAAAACCCCTTTTATTTTTTTGAAATTCAGCGTTGCCCTTTTTTTTCCCTTTATATTCATTTGATTCCAGATAGCTAATAGCAGCTCTTGTGAGTTAACGAGTGTTTGGATTCACAGGAATTAGGACTTCACAGCAGAGCAGCAAAGCATAAAGAATTAAAAAACACTGTCCTCAGAAGACATTTTTCTCTTTAGCATATTAAGGCAGAAGGATGTCTGAGGGCAGATTGCACGGTTAATGACTAGATATCAAGACTTTTCCTTGAAGCTAAAGGAATGTTAATGTGTTTTTTATCAGCATTTTCCTTGCTTTAATTGTGATTTTCATGCAGATGCATAAAAAGTTCATTGAGATGATCTACACATAAGCCTCCTACAAGCCACACGTATAGTGTGCAGCGTTCATACACGTGTTCTCTCAGAGTACAGCTGAAACATTTCCATCCTGACAGGTCATAAAAACTCTAGTAGTCCGTGATCATTTTTAAGCTTAAGCTTACCTTTTGTGGGAGTCAAAATGCTTTTACAGGCAGCTTGTAGTCTCTCAGTCCCTTGATGAATCACATCCACCTCTGCCATCACTATTTTTTTTTTCCATTTTCCCCCATTCTTGGGTTTTTATGTTTATAGATGAGAATTCTTTCATACTAATTAAAGTCTATTTGATTTTTTTTTTATTGCTTTAAACACAAGTCAGCCTTTAAATTTGTCTGCTGCTGCTGCTGCTAAATCGCTTCAGTCGTGTCTGACCATGTGCGACCCCGTAGACGGCAGCCCACCAGGCTCTGCTGTCCCTGGGATTCTGCAGGCGAGAACGCTGGAGTGGGTTACCATTTCCTTCTCCAATTAAATTAGTCTGAATACTGGTAATTCCTTCATTCATTCTTGCCTTCACTTATTTTTTCCTCTTTCAATTGTTCATAGATGCATGGTGGGCCTTGTTCTATAGTGGCAGAAAGGCAGAGATGGAGAACTAACAAATTTTAATAGTATTGGGAGATAAAAACAATACATTGTGACAAAAGTTTGCTAGAGGATATCACTTCCTTGCACCCAAAGAGGCAAGAGCTTTGTTTGTAAAGTATTGATTAACTTATGCCCTTGTATGTGTGTGTGTGTGTGTGTGTGTGTGTGTGTGTGTTTTATGGTGGGTGCTATCTGTAGGGGCAGTGTTTTAAGAATTCATAATTCTGACTTCTCTGGTGGTCCACTGGTTAAGAATCGGGCCTTGCAATGAAGGAAACACTGGTTCGATCCTGGGTCGGGGAAGAACCCACATGCCATGAAGCGACTAAGCACACATGCCATGACAGTTGAACCCGCGGGCCAGAACCTGGAGCTGCAGGAATACAAGCCGCCACAATGAGAAGCCCTCACAATGCAACTAGAGAGTAGCCCGAGAGCTTGCTTGCTGCAAGGAGAGAAAGTCCAAGAGCAAAATGAAGATGGAGCACAGCCAGTAAATACATAATTAATTAATTCAAAAATTTTTTAAAAATACATAATTCTTTTGGAAATCTAAGGACTATTAAGCACTGGATCTTGGTTATCAGTAAATGATACCAGGGGACTCCCCCCCCCCCCCCGCCCCCCGCCCATGGGCCTAGATCCTCTTTGATTCTTCTCTAGCTTTTTGATGGCTTTCTTTGCTCATTAACATTGTAAATGACTGCCTGCCTGAATTGTACACCACTGCCCTTAGCAATAGCACTAACCACCAACTGGCACTTGTCTTGCCTTTTAGTTTGAATTTCCAGAAAGGACATTTATTCCTCATTAGTTATGCCTGATTAAACCCCTGGTTTAATTATTCATGTCACTGGTCATCTTAGGATGTAGGGCCATATAGAAGCAATTTTGTAGTAAAGAGGCAATACTGAGATGCTATTACAAAAGTGAGTATAAAGTCCAATGGTACATGTAAGGAGAGTATCAACTCAGTTTTGGAAAATTGGAAAAGATGCTCCTGAAGAAACAGGACATTTAACCTGG